AATAGCAGCAACTTGTTAAAAGAAATGACTTAAAAAAATTCAAAAATATATCTTATTTTGCAGGAAAACATTTATGTATGAATCAATCTGGCCTCTGTTGGTCCAGTTGAGCATAAAGACAGACAGCAGGCTGGAGCAAAGAGTGAAAGAATGAAGCAGTGCATCCTTTGTTATTCAACATTTTGCCATTTTAGCTTCTTTTAAATCACATTTAAACACTAAAAACACGACAATAGGAGACAGTGTTGAGTTAAGTTACCTCCACAACATCTGGACTGATGTGCTGTTGGGTATGAAGCTTCCCTGAAGCTGATTATCATGACCTGACCTTTTCATTAAAGCCATCATCGTCTCCACAGCCTCCCCAGAGGATGAACCTTGTCCAAACACAGACGCCTCATTTACTGAGTTTATTGCCGGAATTTTACTGAGAAAATTCGGCGCTTTAGTCGTCTTTGGTTTGGGTTTTTTGGCACAATCTTAAGACGAACTTCCCTCCGCCCTGCTGATAAGGTTTGATCGTCGCCATGACACCACTGAGCTGCCTTTCGTTATGTTTTATTCGCACAAGCTGTAGTTAAGGTGTTCTGTCATCCTGCTGGAATCTGTGTCACCACGACAGGCTGGAAACATGCAGGACGCTCGGTGTCCCTCGCAGAAGTTATTCATTTTTCAGCTCGGTGCTCGGCGCTTCCAATTTCGTCCCCCAATAAAGCCGGACGAGACGAGGGCCGCCGGTGTGTCCGGCGAATAAAAATCACATCAAAAGTGTCTCCAATATGTCCCAATAACGCGCCTGTATTTGCTCATTTCCTCTCTCCGGCACACGGAATCAGATCTCGACTTGGGAAACTAATGAGGCAGCTCTCCACTTTCCCTGCTCACTTATGCAGAACACTCTCAAGTATTACAGCAGAAACATTGCAGCTCTGTGGTTATTTTCTTTTTCTTTTTTGGACTTTTCAGGTTTTTGGCAGAAAACAAAAACAGGAAATGAGAGGGGGGGGGGATGGGAAAAGAGAAGAAAAAAAAAAGGCTCATTGTGTGTGGTTTTTGTTGGACTTGTTGCTTCGGTGTGACTTTGATCTTATTTTTAGGGGTTTGGAGGAAGGAAGGGGCAGCGGTGGGTGGACGGTCTGTTAGGATGGCAGCAGCGTGAACAGCGAGGGCTTTTGTGTTCTGATCTCTGACCCACATATCTGCAGGTTTCTGCTACGAGGTTCTTTGAAACGAAGGTTTGATTCCAGTCGCTGTTTATTCGAGCGGAGCGTTGAACTCGGAGCGCTCGGATCTGACGTCGGGGCGGCGGAGGTGCATAAAAAGTCAAAAAGGCATAAAAAAAACATGTGACACGCATCTAATGTGACTTGACTTGACTTGACAGTGAAGTGGAGGATCCCTGCGGTGGATTCGCCTCGAGTTAAGTCACCGTGATGTTTGCTTTTGTCTTATTTCGTAATTCCCTCGACCACCAAACATCAGACGAAATGTTCTCGAGAGTGACGGATTTAAGTTGTCCTTAAAAAAACCAAAGAAAAAACGGGGGCTTGAACTCAATCAGGAGGAAGACGTCTCGCTTTGTAGATGTTTGGCAGACGCTCGCCCACAATGTGACGCTTCCTACAAAAAAGAATATTTTTGAAAATAACTTTGAACTGTAATTTACTGTTATTTTACAGAATTTTCCAGTTTTGTTAATTTACAGAACAAGAAAAAGTATTAAACTATGTGGACCTCCAGTGTACCACATCAAAAATACTGTTTTTACGAGCTGTGATTTGCTCTTTCACAGCATTTGTGGTGAAATTTGGCTGTTTTTCTTGTTTTGTACAAAAAAAAAGAATCAATTTGAGCATCTACGACCACCAGCTTAAGCTAAGTTAAGCTAAGTTAAGTTAAGCTAAGTTAAGTTAAGCTAAATTAAGTTAAGTTAAGCTAAGTTAAGTTAAGTTAAGCTAAATTAAGTTAAGTTAAGCTAGGTTAAGTTAAGTTAAGCTAAGTTAAATTAAGTTAAGCTAAGTTAAGCTAGGTTAAGCTAGGTTAAGCTAAGTTAAGTTAATTTAAGTTAAGCTAAGTTAAGCTAAGTTAAGCTAGGTTAAGCTAAGTTAAGCTAACTCCAGCTGCCTGCTATAATTAGCTTCAACTTTAAACACGAACTTGTGCAGATGTGACTAAACACAAACCAAAGACTGTTGCATATGTGTATAAATAGATTATTTCCATGGTCAATTCATCTGTTGATTATTTTCTCAGTTAATCGTTTGATTGTTTGTTCTATAAAATATCACTAATTTCAGATTCTCAAAGCCCAACATAACTTCCTCTGAAGTCTCGTTTTGTCCACCATCCAAACATCTTCACTTTTCTGTCATGGCGAAAGAAAGAAACTGGAAAATATTCCAAATTTACAGAGAATTTAGATTTACTCAAACCAGTTTATCTATTACCAGAATGCTTGATTCACTGAATCGTTGACACCTCATCTATTAATGATCAATCATCATCGCTGCCTTTAACTAGAAACAAGGAATGTCAGGCTGGAGTTAATGATCCGCAGACTGATTTCACAACTAATCAATGATTTGTCACGTTGAAATGGACGATAATGGTGAAAGATTCCCGTCGCAGGATCACCCAGAGAGCCAGCTGACATTTTAGAGCTGCGGCTAATGATCATTTCCATACATATATCGCTTATTTTCTCGACTAATCGATCAGTTGTTCGGTGTTTTAAATGTCAGAAACGATCAGTGTTGTAGATATTACAATAAGTTTAATATATTGTCATAGAGGAGCGAAGAAAACCGAAAATAATCACATTAACAAAGATGGAATCACAGAAATGAGGCCTTTTTTTTTCTATTTAAAGAATTATTTAAAGCGATCATTTAACCTAACAGTTGAATCGTTGCAGCTCGTGCTTTAAAAACAGTTGATGTCAAGAAAATTCTTGCAAAAATGAGGCAGTGTTTTAGTGCATTTGTGGAAATTTTCAGTCAAATTGTCGCGTTCAAGCTTCCCAAAGATGGACTTACAGTTATTTGCATTTGGATCCAGATGTTTTTCTTTTAGTTTTCTGCATTTAAGCCCTTCTGCTCTTCTCAGATGCTTCTTGTGTCGTTTTGTTTTCTGATCACGTCTGGTCATGACAATAAATAATAATCATAATAATAATAATAATAATAATGACAGGAAGCATAGTGAAGGTCCTCAGACAGATGCTGCTGCAGGACGGGAGCATTTAAAACATCATCACAAAGCAGTGGACAGTGAGAGCTGCGCTTTTAAACCACGTCTCTGAGCAGATATTCGTCGATTGCGTCGTTTATCTCGTCCAAGCTTTCATCCCGCACAAAGGCCTACAGTATTAAAGCCCATCTGACCGATAAGTTGGCTGATTTAATTAACCTTTACACTAACGCTGGCCAAGTGGTGGCACCAGAACCACACAGAGCCTCATCAGAACGGCTCCACGACGACAACAAACACGGGAGGAGACGCCGGCCGATGTAATGATCTTATTTCCCCTCGTCGGGAGGATTAAAACAAGGAGAACCACCGACGGTTTGCAACATCTGACCTTCAGCGTCTCGGTGCCGTCGAGGGAAGCCGATGCGGTTGGACATGGTGCCATCCTCAGGCGGCCGGGTTGAACTGCAGGCCGTCGTGAGTCAAACGAATCACGTTTAGGAGGAAGACTTCACAGTTTTGTTCAACATCTGCAGCGTCAGACGGGTTAAAGGAGGTTATACAAAGAATTCAGAGGATTTAAGATGTTTTTTGTTGGTAGATTTTTGACTTTTTGTTGATAAAACTAGCCTTATGATCTGATCTGAGGGTTTATTTACAAGATAACAGCTGATTAGTTGAAGGAGAAATGCTGTAAATGCTGAAGATAAATATATAAAAATAGAATAAAAGTGTACAAATACAAAAACCATGTAAACGAACCAGTGGGAAATAAATAATAATAAATAAAAACTATCAAGTCAAAACTTCATCAGAGCAGTTTTTTATTGATTTGTTTGCAATTTTCAATCCGTTTTTTCTCCATTTCATAGTGACATTACTGTAAAATAACATAAATAAACACCCAAATAAACTGTATAATAATCACAGGTTTTATTTATGTACTTTACATTTAATTTGCTCATTTAAAGAAAAACAAAAAAACAAGGTGAGTATGTAAACATTTTATTTATTTGATGAGTAATTGAGGATATTTTCCAGCGGTTATAATTGAATACTGTCACATTTATTTAACATTTTATTATTTATTACATCATCTCTTGTTGGCACGGCAACACAATCGAATAAATGAAATTAAATCCAAAATTTGAAAATCAAATCGATGAATCCAGTCGGTCTAAGACTCGTGATGTTACATGAAGTCCAAAGTTATGGTTAAGAAATGAAAATATTCAACAAAAAATAAATATTTGTGGCCAAGTAATAATCAATAAATCCACAATTTAACAGTTAGTCTATTCAAAGCCAGATTACATGTTTAATGTACAGTCCAGTGGGAAACAGTGAACATCTCACTGATATAAAGTCATTATTTATTCTTCCATGTACAGTTATGACATACAAATACTTGCAGGGATGTTTGTACACTGAAGTAAACAACAAGACTTTAACATATTCTGCTCTACTGGGTCATTCATAACAGTTTTAAAACTATATGTTACTTTCATTGTGCATCTTCCAGGAGCGAGCAGGTCCTCCGTAACCCTTCATGTTGATGGATGATAACTGCATTTACAAGCGTTGCATCCCCCCAAAACAAAACAAAAGTCCCAGAAGAAGCATCAGGGTTTGAAACCTGCTATTGGGTCAGATCTGGTCTCTTAACCTTTAGCTTGCACTCGACTGCAGGAAGCACGTCGGTGTTTCTACATGAGTTCCTCCCTGCGTCCTACGAGCTGCACAGAGCCTCTAACTCTGGGTCTGATTTTGTTCTGGTTTCATGTTCTGCCCGTTGCGAGAGGTTCTGCAGCTCAGGCGACCTGCCAGACTGACCACAGAGTGCCCAGAGTGATGCTGTACGCCACCATGGCCACTAAGTAGACCCTGAAGAGCAGCACGTCCAGCACGTAGCCAACTTGGAGCCACTCCTTGGCCACTTCCCGACATCGGTCCCTCTTCTCCAGGAAGTGGCGTATGGCCGTCACCTCCTGCAGGATGTTGTCCATGACGGGCGGGCTGCTGTCCCTGGAGGGGGGCAGGTGCAGGCCGAGCAGGCCGGCTTCCCGGTCGTGCTGGCTGAGCCTCCGGCCGATTTCACAGGTGTGGTGCAGCGAGCACTGAGCTGCACAGAGGGACAGAGAAACAAACAGGATGTTTGTGGTTTTTCACTGGAGGAGAATCTCAGACGGAGACCTGCAGGTTAGAAGCATTTGGGGAATTTTACTAACGTGCAAAGTCAGATGACAAGAGTTCTATTAATTTAAACTGTGTGTGAATAAAACAACTCCTAAAGACACCTGTTTTATTCTAGAGCAAGATATTTCTGAAAATCCTGCAGATGACAAAGTGCTGCTGCCACAAAACTATGAAATTACATTTAAATAAGGTTGAATAATATAATAATAATGTAAATAATCAGGATTAACAGAGCAGAAGACCAGGAGGAAATGTTGTACCTGTTAAATATATTATATATTAGGTAAATAAATATAAATGGTACAATGCTGTGAGGGAAAAACAAACAACAACAACAACACATGTCATAGAAATACTGTAAACTTCTATAATTAAAATACAGTTTCTAGCTTTAGTTTTACATAATGTGGGTTTTGTTTTGTTTGTTTTTGTCTTTTTAATGTTTAACAAAAGTGTAAAAACAATTAAATTAGCTATAAATGTGACTGAATAATATGGTGATAATGTTAATAATCAGGATTAATAGAGCAGAAGAGGAAGAGGAAAATGTGTACTGCTTAAATATAATTCATAACAAGTAAATAAATATAAATATAACAATAATAGCAGCACCAGGAAGTACTGTTGAATAATCAAAAATACCCATCTCATGGAAATATAGAGATTTAAATACAATTTTTAGCTTTAATTTTACACAATGTGGGATTTATTTATTTTTGTTTGCTTTCTAAGTTTTAATGAAAGTGCAAAGACAATTAAACTTCCTATAAATACGGTCGTATGATATGATAATAATGTAAATGTATCGTATATGTGTATCTCTGTTTAATGCTGCTACCAACAACGTGAATTTCTCCACTGTGAGATAAATAAAGGCATATCTTATCTTTTCTTATCTTAAATAGTCAGGATTAATACTGCAGAAAGGAAGAGGAAATCGTGTTCCCCCTAAATATAAGTCATTGTAAGTAAGTTTCCCAGAGTGTCCAATAAAGCGTGATTATAAATATAACATCAGTGCTGTAGAAACACAAACAAATAAACAAACAAGTGATATTCTGGCAGCTGGGTCACAAAAAACTACCGAAAGTTATTTAAAAGATCCATCCAATAGAAATACAATCATTTCCCTTAAATAAAATGCAGGTTCTAGCTGTAATTTTATGTCACATGTTTTGTTTTTTGTTTTGATGTTTGATTTGAAAAAAACAAACAAACAAACAAAAACAGTGGCATTACCTATAAATGGCTAAATAATGTTGTA